ATATATATATATATATATATATATATATATATATATATATATGCGTTCGAGTCACTTCTGGGGTGTGAGTTTTCAGTTATATATATATATATATATATATATATATATATATATATATATATATATATATATATATATATATACAAGGTTAGGTTAATAATTCTAACAGGAATTTTCTCAATATTTCTTATGTTTTTCTTCACTGTCGGTGGTAAGAAATATTGAGAAAATTCGTGTTAGAATTATTAATCTTACCTTTTCGGTCTTATTCAACAACATATGTTTAAATTATGTTTAGATGTTTAAATATGTTTAAATTGTGTTTAAAATTGTTTAAAATTGTTTAAATTTTTTAAAATGTTTAAATTTTGTTTTAAATTGTTTAAATATGTTTAATTATGTTTAAATCATCATTGTATTAATGGTTTTTAATATTATTGTTGCTGAAATAACATTTGAGCATTAACAGAAATAATGCCACTACATTACACACAGAAACCACGATAACCTGATGTATCAAATGAAGTTTGATTAAGGTAGCGTCTGAGATACTCTCAGACGCAGGTTCGAACCCTAGTCACGGCCCTAATGTTGTTTTAAATTCAGCTACTTAGAACAAAAGTTCCAAAGTAGCACGGGCTATGGTGAGCCCGTAACTTACCTGGCACAGGAGCGGGGCAAGTAGCACGGGCTATGGTGATCCCGTAACTTACCTGGCACAGGAGCATGGCAAGTAGCACGGGCTATGGTGAGCCCGTAACTTACCTGGCACAGGAGCGAGGCAAGTAGCACGGGCTATGGCGAGCCCGTAGTGGACTTACCAGGCACAGGAGCGGGGCAAGTAGCACGGGCTATGGCGATCCCGTAGTGAACTTACCAGGCACAGGAGGTAGGCTATGGGGGTAGACCATTGTGGATTTGTTCATTTAGAAATAACACCGTTCCTCTCTTTCCACAGGTGAACGCCCTTACAAATGCCACATCCCTGATTGCGGGCGAGCTTTCATTCAGCTGTCGAACCTACAGCAGCATCTGCGCAACCACGATGCGCAGCTGGAGCGCATGAAGAACCGACCGTTCCACTGCAACATCTGTGGCAAGGGCTTCGCTACGGAGAGTTCGCTAAGGACTCACACATCCAAGGTAGAGAGGGAGTGAGAGAGAGAGAGATTCACATCTCTTTTCATTTGGTTCAATTATCTATCCTCTTCTGGCCTCATTGGGGTGGGCCTATTCTTCTCTATTCTTCTCTATTCTTCTCTATTCTATTTTTCTATCCATATGGCTACTTTGCGATAGTACTTTCGCTATTTTAAAGGCGCGTCGTTGAGTACTATCTAGACGCTCCTAGGAGGCGCCTAGCGCTCTAGGGCGCTTCTAGGACGCTCCTAGGATGCTCTTAGCGCTCTAGGACGCTCCTAGCGCTCCTAGGACGCTCCTGGCGCTCTAGGCCGCTCCTTGGACGCTCCTGGCGCTCTAGGCCGTTCCTAGGACGCTCCTGGCGCTCTAGGCCGCTCCTAGGACGCTCCTGGCGCTCTAGGCCGCTCCTTGGACGCTCCTGGCGCTCTAGGCCGTTCCTAGGACGCTCCTGGCGCTCTAGGCAGCTCCTTGAGCGCTCTTGGCGCTCTAGGCCGCTCCTGGCGCTCTAGGCCGCTCTAGGCGGCTCCTAGGACGCTCCTGGCGCTCTAGGCCGCTCCTAGGACGCTCCTGGCGCTCTAGGCCGCTCCTTGGGCGCTCTAGGCCGCTCCTAGGACGCTCCTGGCGCTCTAGGCCGCTCCTTGGGCGCTCTTGGCGCTCTAGGCCGCTCCTAGGACGCTCCTGGCGCTCTAGGCCGCTCCTAGGACGCTCCTGGCGATCTAGGCCGCTCCTAGGACGCTCCTGGCGCTCTAGGCCGCTCCTTGGACGCTCCCGGCGCTCTAGGCCGCTCCTAGGACGCTCCTGGCGCTCTAGGCCGCTCCTTGGGCGCTCTAGGCGGCTCCTAGGACGCTCCTGGCGCTCTAGGCCGCTCCTAGGACGCTCCTGGCGCTCTAGGCCGCTCCTAGGACGCTCCTGGCGCTCTAGGCCGCTCCTTGGGCGCTCTAGGCCGCTCCTAGGACGCTCCTGGCGCTCTAGGCCGCTCCTTGGGCGCTCTAGGCCGCTCCTAGGACGCTCCTGGCGCTCTAGGGCGCTCCTTGGACGCTCCTGGCGCTCTAGGCCGCTCCTTGGGCGCTCCTGGCGCTCTAGGACGCTCCTAGGACACTCCTGGCGCTCTAGGGAGCTCCTTGGACGCTCCTGGCGCTCTAGGGCGCTCCTTGGACGCTCCTGGCGCTCCTTGGACGCTCCTGGCGCTCTAGGCCGCTCCTTGGGCACTCTTGGCGCTCTAGGCCGCTCCTAGGACGCTCCTGGCGCTCTAGGCCGCTCCTTGGACGCTCCTGGCGCTCTAGGGCGCTCCTTGGACGCTCCTGGCGCTCTAGGGCGCTCCTTGGACGCTCCTGGCGCTCTAGGCCGCTCCTTGGGCGCTCTTGGCGCTCTAGGCCGCTCCTAGGACGCTCCTGGCGCTCTAGGCCGCTCCTAGGACGCTCCTGGCGCTCTAGGCCGCTCCTAGCGCTCTAGGCCGTTCCTAGGACGCTCCTAGCGCTCTATGCCGCTCCTAGCGCTATAGCCCGCTCCTAGGAGGCTCCTAGCGCTCTAGGCCGCTCCTAGGACGCTCCTAACGCTCTAGGCCGCTCCTAGCGCTCTAGGCCGTTCCTAGGACGCTCTAGGCCGTTCCTAGGACGCTCCTAGCCCTCTAGAACGCTCTAGGGCGTCCCTAGCAGATGATAGGCTTCAGCGGTTTGCAACCACCGTTCACCGGAAACCATGCAAGCTATTGCATACCTTTTAACTTCAATTGCAAGCAGCTTGCAAGATGTCATTGTCAATGGTTGTCTATAAAGATTCATTGATGATCTGTGATGGTGATGAACACAGAACAATTTGTTTCTACCGTTGAGGTTTGATGGTCTGAGATCGCGATGAATATCCAGATTTAAGGAAGAAATTGAATTGGCTGTTGAGCACTAGGCCAATCATCACTAGGAAGTCATCACTAGTTGGCGCCTGTTGATTTGTAATACTTACAGAAGTTCGCGGGAAGAAGCCTGGAGTTCGCGGGACGAAGCCTAGAGTTCGCGGAGAGGCCTAGAGTTCGCGGGACGAAGCCTAGAGTTCGCGGAAAGAGGCCTAGAGTTCGCGGAGAGGCCTAGAGTTCGCGGAAGGAGGCCTAGAGTTCGCGGAGAGGCCTAGAGTTCGCGGAGAGGCCTAGAGTTCGCGGAAGGAGGCCTAGAGTTCGCGGAGAGGCCTAGAGTTCGCGGAAAGTGGCTGCGGATTGCGGTCAACCATCCCTGAAGTTAGTCCTAAGGAGCTGAAACATCGGCCTATTAAATCGGCCGAAATTGGACACGATAAAAGCCTAAAAAAAAGGACTTTTTGAAAATTTGAAAATTTGAACCGTGCCAAGACATCAACTGCCATCTTACTCAACGGTCATAGTTTCTGTTTGATGTCTATTCTTATCTTTAGATACATATATATATATCTTTTGCCAGCTGGGGTCATTTATATTTATCAATGTGTAAGGATGTTTAGTTTTAAGTAACATTGGTCTTGTGTAGTTTTAAGATGAGGTAAAGGCAGTTAGAGAAAGATTATGCCATTCCCAATAGAGCTTTTTTTGGTTAGGTAACTGTTGACCTATTAACTGTTTCTCCCTCACCTCTCCTCACACTTCTAAGAGTCCCTCGCACACTGTGACGCAAGATTGCTCGCCACATCTTGTCGGACGCAGGATATTAGGGATTGGTGAAGCCATCTGCTTCACCAATCGGTGTGTGTGTGATTGGAAAAAGGAGGATCCTTCCCTATGGCGCTGTACCCATCAAACGAGGATATAAATATACCATATGTTTACCTATATATAGTTGTGATAGGATAGGATGTGCTATGCTACCAGAAAGGTGTGATAGAATATAGCGATATGAGGTAGAATTCAGCGCGAGAGAGAGAGAGAGAGAGTTAGAGTCATGCACTTTGATGTGCATGACTGAAAAGGCACTTTGGTCCATGATGTTTGTGTGGGAGGAATGCGTGGTGAGAGGAATTATATGAGGTACGAGGCAGGACAGTGGGCTTCACCCTGTGTGGTCTCTCTCCCACAGCACGCAGCCCTGGTCGGCGGCCCCAACGCTGTTAATTGTCCTCAGTGCCAGAAATTGTTCATGAATGGAGAACAGCTGATGGAACATATGAAGTATACGCATAGGGACCCTAACGCTTCGGGAGTGGCAGGTTAGTTGACATTCCTCATATACTATTCCTTGTTATTGTCTTCTCACAGCACGCTATCCACATCGGAGGCCCGAGTGCCGTTCACTGCCCTCACTGTGACAAGTACTTCATGAGTGGAGAACAGCTTATGGAGCATATGAAGGTGGTTCATAGAGACCCAAATGCCTCAGGTGTCGGAGGTAATGTGGCCTTAATGGGCCGACGCCACATTTCCCTCCACCCCCCCTAAACTAACCCCTATATCATATCATATATGATCATATATCTGATATATGTGTGTGTGTGTATAGCATTTAGCCATAAGATATATTTGCAACACTATTTTCACTGTTTATCATTGTATGATTGCTGTTATATGCAAAAGTATTATTGTATTAGGGTGGAATTAGGCTTTTGAGGCAAGCCCGCTAATGTGTATTCTTTTTGCAGCCAAGCGACGAACTGCGTCCCATTCGTGCCCGGTGTGTGGAAAACACTACGTTAACGAGGGTAGCTTGCGCAAGCACCTTGCCTGCCATCCTGAGACCTCTCAGTTCACCTCCTCCTTGAGGATGTGGCCTTGTTCCGTGTGTCACGCTGTCTTCACCCACGAGTCAGGTTAGTCTCCCCAAGCGTTCTCCATCCCGAAGGAGGGTGAGTTCGATGAATTTGCCGCTCCCGAAGGCGGGTGAGTTCGATGAACTTACCGCTCCCGAAGGCGGGTGAGTTCGATGAATTTGCCGCTCCCGAAGGCGGGTGAGTTCGATGAACTTACCGCTCCCGAAGGCGGGTGAGTTCGTTGAATTTGTCGCTCCCGAAGGCGGGTGAGTTCGATGAATTTGCCGCTCCCGAAGGCGGGAGAGTTCGATGAACTTACCGCTCCCGAAGGCTGGTGAGTTCGATGAACTTGTCGCTCCCGAAGGCGGGTGAGTTCGATGAACTTACCGCTCCCGAAGGCGGGTGAGTTCGATGAATTTGTCGCTCCCGAAGGCGGGTGAGTTCGATGAACTTACCGCTCCCGAAGGCGGGTGAGTTCGATGAACTTGCCGCTCCCGAAGGCGGGTGAGTTCGATGAACTTACCGCTCCCGAAGGCGGGTGAGTTCGATGAACTTACCGCTCCCGAAGGCGGGTGAGTTCGATGAATTTGCCGCTCCCGAAGGCGGGTGAGTTCGATGAACTTACCGCTCCCGAAGGCGGGCGAAGTTCGCTAAACTTGCTCTATGATGGGTTGGCGGAATAGGAATGGAATGACACATGTTGGAAGGAAACTAGCAGGTAGCAATGACTTAGGCCAAGTCACTAAGGACTAGTCAGGACTAAGTTAGGCCAGCTAACTTAGTCCTAACTACCTATGTCGATTCACCCATTGTCAGCCTACCTAATGATGTAGTCTAAGACCTATCTGTCAGCAGGCATTAGGCTACATCTTCATGCCTACTTAACTCTTAATGTGCCTAAAATATTTTAATCCTGAAAAACATCGACATTCTAAAGGTTTTTTATATTGTTTTGCAAAAGATACGTAATTTTGGTAAACTATAATTAATTTTGGTAAACTATCTTTCATTATATTGCATGGATTTACTTCTAATTATGCGTACGACTCTGACGAAAAGGCCTGACTTATGAACTAGTTTGTTAAGTGTAACGGACAATTACTATGCAAATAATTTCTCACAGGCTTTCAAAATTTTTGTACACTTTCAGTGTCCAATATGTTGATGTGTTTATTGTTTGGATGTAATCTTATACTGAGTGAACATGTCTCTCTCTCTCTCTCTCTCTCTCTCTCTCTCTCTCTCTCACACACACATACAGTATATATATAATGTTGGTTTAACGTATATTGTGATTTGTTTCTTTTAAGTATATATTTTAGGTAATTTTTAAAGTATTTTATTTCAATATCTTCTCAATCTGGCCTACCTATAGAGCTCAAAATACTATAGAGTTCACGAGGCTGAGCAGTGAATGAGCGGTGCCCAGTCAATCCCTCTACCCTGTCAGAGATTCGAACCCTGTTCTCCCGCTCTTACCTGACAAACGAGAGTGACCCGGAATGGTATTATCAGGGGGAAAGCGTCAAGCCATTACGACTATATAGCACTGGGAAGGGGTCAGGATTTGGGATGGGACGGAGGGAAAGGAATGCTGCCCCAACCACTTGGGGGATTGAACCCCGACTTGCATGAAGCTCTACCGTCGCTCTACCGTAAGTGGTTGGGCATGATAGATTCGGAATGGCTCGACCGTAAGTGGTTGGGCATGATAGATTCGGAATGGCTCGACCGTAAGTGGTTGGGCATGATAGATTCGGAATGACATCTAGGCACCGTAAGATAACTGGTCACCATTCCGTTCACTGTAAATTGCCCTCGGGCACGCAAATAGTGACTCAAGAGTACTGTGGAGAAATGCCCAACAGACCACTGGAACATTATCTAACACAGTGCACAGTTACAGCCACAACAGACCACTGGAACATTATCTAACACAGTGCACAGTTACAGTCACAACAGACCACTGGACCATTATCTAACACAGTGCACAGTTACAACCACAACAGACCACTGGAACATTATCTAACACAGTGCACAGTTACAGCCACAACAGACCACTGGAACATTATCTAACACAGTGCACAGTTACAGCCACAACAGACCACTGGAACATTATCTAACACAGTACACAGTTACAACCACAACAGACCACTGGAACATTATCTAACACAGTGCACAGTTACAGCCACAACAGACCACTGGAACATTATCTAACACAGTGCACAGTTACAACCACAACAGACCACTGGAACATTATCTAACACAGTGCACAGTTACAGCCACAACAGACCACTGGAACATTATCTAACACAGTGCACAGTTACAGTCACAACAGACCACTGGAACATTATCTAACACAGTGCACAGTTACAAACTCATTAAGATTTCAACTTAGATTCAACAGAGCAGAAGAAGTTGTTAAACACATGGGACAAAATCTTACTGAAGCGACCATACGAGTCATAGATACTCATACTCCGCCCAAGTAAAACAGAAACAAGCAACATTTAGTGGGCCAGCCAGAGGCTTAGGGCCCGCCCAGTGGGCCAGCCAGAGGCTTAGGGCCCGCCCAGTGGGCCAGCCAGAGGCTTAGGGCCCGCTCAGTGGGCCAGCCAGAGGCTTAGGGCCCGCCCAGTGGGCCAGCCAGAGGCTTAG